TGGCAGTTTGGAGTAAATCATACCACACTGCTACAAGCCCTATTAGCAGCAGCAGCAGCACTTTGGAAATTTCCACAGAGGTGGCGTGAATGTGAATTTGTGCTGCTCCACTTCCCCACCCCTACCCGCCTGGGACCACCTTGTGGGAAGTGATGCATCTTTAACTCCTAGGGTGACGCAGATGGTGTGTGCATCAACATGACAACTGCATTAAGTATGAACACTACCCTGTCTACTGACCACATAGGTCTGTTTTCCTGGAGATACTGCCATTTTAATAGCAGAAGTCTGTATGCCAACTTCAACAATATAAAGGAATATCTAAATGAGTTGACAAATCCATTTGGAATTATTGCCATTTCTGAAACATGGATCAATGCGGAGAAAGGAATGGACTTTGGACTGGAGGGATATGAAGTGAATTTTGTAAACAGAAGGAACAAGAGTGGAGGGGGAGTAGCTGTGTATGTGGATAAAAACCTAAACTACAAGGTGGTAGAAAGTATGACAACTGTAATTGATAATTTACTAGAATGTATAACAATTGAAATTTATAAGGAAAAAGAAAAAAATGTAATAATTAGCTGTATATATAGAACACCTGGCTCTAGTATTCAAGTATTTAATGACTTCATAGAGGAAATATTCTCTAAAACAAATCAAAAAGTTATGTTTATCTGTGGTGATTTTAATATTGACCTGTTGAATCCAAAAAAGCATAAAATGAGCGACGAATTCCTAAACACTATGTACAGTTTGAGTTTACATCCTAAAATAACCAGGCCTAGCAGAATTACACCACATTGTGCCACCTTACTTGACAATATTTTCACTAACAATATGGAAAACAACATTGTGAGTGGATTATTAATTAATGACATCAGTGATCACCTACCAGTTTTTGCAGTTTATGACACTAATTATAAGAAAAATCAGCATGAAGAACAACTGAGATACAGACGTGTAAGGACGGAAGAAACGATGACTGCATTTAAGAACGATCTATTAAATCAGGACTGGGACAATGTGTACAAAGAAGCTGATATTGATATTGCATATGGCATATTTTTAAGAATATTCATGGAGTTGTACGATAAAAACTGTCCAACAATAAAATACAACAGAAAGCACAAATATTCAGATAGACCATGGCTCACTAAGGGTTTACAAAATGCATGTAAAAAGAAAAATACACTCTATAGGGAATACCTAAAACAAAGAACAAAAGATGCTGAAAATAAATATAAAAAATACAAAAATAAGTTGACCAATATGTAGAAAGGAGTATTATAGTAAAATATTGAACAACAATAAACATAATATGAAAGGAATATGGGATGTTTTAAACGGTATCATTAAAAATAATTCTGGACAACAAAGTTATCCACAATACTTTATCGATAATGGCAATATTATGGAAAACACTGCTGATAAGGTCAACAGCTTTAATCATTATTTTGTAAATATTGGACCAAAACTGGCAGAACAAATTCCTGAGTCACTGCCATCAGTAGATTGTAGTGAAAACCTGATTGATAGGAACCCTAACTCAATGTTCCTCACATCAGTGGAGGAAAAAGAAATAATTGACATTGTACACATGTGTAAATATAAAACATCTACTGATTGTAATGATATTGACATGAAAATCGTCAAGAAGGTCATTGAAGGAATTGTAGGACCTCTAACATATATTTGCAACTTATCATTTCAGATGGGAAAAGTGCCAAACAAAATGAAAATAGCTAAAGTTGTGCCACTGTATAAAACCGGGGATAGACGCCACTTCACAAATTACAGGCCTGTTTCTTTACTACCACAATTCTCCAAAATCCTAGAAAACCTGTTTAATAAACGATTAGACAAATTCTTAGATAAATATAAATTACTCTCTGACAGTCAATATGGATTCAGATCAAAAAGATCAACATCTCTGGCATTAATCGAATCAATTGAGGAGATTACGAATGCTATAGATCAGAAACAGTATGCAGCTGGAGTATTTCTGGATCTCAAGAAAGCATTCGACACAATCAATCATGACATATTAATTAATAAACTGGAACGGTACGGGATTAGGGGGGTTGTACTGCAATGGGTGAAAAATTATTTAAGTGACCGGAAACAATTTGTGAAGCTGGGTGTCCATTCCTCATCATGCTTGGACATTGCTTGTGGTGTTCCACAAGGCTCTGTACTGGGTCCAAAATTATTTATTATTTATATAAATGATATTTGTAAGGCATCTGATATATTAAAATTAGTATTATTTGCAGATGACACAAATATTTTTTGTTCTGGGGGGAATCTAAAGGAGCTGCTGGATACAATTACTTCAGAAATGTGCAAAATTAAAAAATGGTTTAACAGGAACAAACTATCGCTAAATCTAAGTAAAACTAAAATTATCTTATTTGGGAATTCCCTTAGAAATGCACAAGTGCAGATTCATGTAGATGGTGTGGAAATTGAAAGAGTACTTGAACATAAGTTTCTTGGTGTGATTATAGATGATAAATTAAACTGGAAGTCTCATATAAATCATATACATAACAAAATTTCAAGAAGTGTCTCAATCTTGAGTAAAGTAAAACACATTCTGGACCACAAATCACTCCACATTCTCTATTGTTCCCTGATTGCACCGTATTTGAATTACTGTGCAGAGGTTTGGGGCAATACTTACAAATGTTCGCTATCATCAATCTTTATATTACAAAAAAGGGCCATAAGGATAATCCATAAAACTGGTTACAGAGATCATACAAATCCACTATTCTTAAAATCAAAAATTCTAAAATTCACAGATCTGGTTCATTTTCTCACAGCACAAATTATATATAAAGCAATAAATAACCTGCTTCCTGACAATATTCTAAAAATGTTTTCTAAAAGGGAACGGGGATACAATTTGAGGGGGGAATTAAATTTAAAACATCCTCGTATCCGTACAACATTAAAAGGTTTTTGCATCTCTGTGTGTGGAGTGAAGCTGTGGAACAGACTAAGTAAAGATATGAAGCAATGTCCAAGCATGGCGCAGTTTAAAAAGCGGTTTAAGGATATGGTTTTTACAGGGTACAGGGAAAAGGTAGAGATTTGATAGGGTGTTCTTGTCTAATATTTTCATGTGTGTGCACATGCACGGGTTTGTTGGTATGGATATATATATATAATTGTAGGCTGTGTATCCTTGAGGTGTTAATGGGGTTATTGAAAATGTGTATATGTGCGTATGTGCGTATATACGTATGTATGGATAGATAGAAACATATATGTGTATATATTTAAAAAAAAAAAAAAAAAATTACACATAACATATAATGTAATTGCAAGGAGGTATTTCTGTAGTCTATTGATACTAGATAGTGGAAAAGGGGTGGGATTAAATAAGCTTATGCTTCTTCCTGCTCCTTTTTGAACATGGACGTTATTTGGAGTTGTGGTTGCTCGTTTTCCTTTTGTTTGCTTTGTTCATTTGTCTCTTTTAATTCTATTTTTTTTTTATACTTTTTCAACATGTTCAAAATAAAGATTCAATCAATCAATCAATCAATCAATTCCAGCTGCTTGAACACAATGTGTGGATGGCTGTCCATGAGTGTCTGAGTGCGCAAGATCTCCCTTTAATTATCAGCAACAGCAGCCTATTATTATTGTACTGATAAAATTGCTAACTAGACTACGGCTTCCTTTTTCTGGATTGTGCAGGGGTTTAAAGTCAGACTTTTTTTAAAGGTCTCTTTTCTGTTGATGTATGTTTTTATAGGGGTGTGACAAATCTGAAATAAAGCGCTGCAAAAACTTTTTAAAAAAGTATATTTGTCTTATTTCTAGTCAAAATTATCTCATTACACTTACGTCCCTATATATTACTGAAATGTTGCTCTGCAGCTGATTTTGTCTTATTTTAAGTGTTTTAAGTTGAATAGAAATAAGACAAATATACTTGGTAAGATTTTGAGTTTTTGGAGTGAGACAAAACAATGCAATGCAAACATCTAGAATAGTGTATCATAATTCCTTTTCCCAATACTGAAGCCTGTAATATTTAAAGGTTTCAGAATGATGTGTTGAGAAAAAGACATCAGAATAATAGATAAAATAAAATGTAAAAAGTTCAATTAAATTTATTCAGAAAGACTCTGAATAGAAGATGTAAACAATTATAACAAACTACTAAGTGAGGTTTTTCTATTTTTCTTAAATAAAAACTTAGACGCCTACTGTAATTTTTAAATAACATGTTATAAGTTCCTGATGTTAATATGAGTATAACATTAAAAAATCATGTTTTATTGTGACGGTTCCTTTTTTTAAAAAAAATATTCATAAAAATATTTATAAAAGTACGGTGTGCTTTTAAAAAAAATCACAATATATTTAACTTGCACGTTTATGTAGTAGCTTCCCACTAGGTGTTAGCAGATGTGGCCACTAGTTGGTAGCCTTGTCCTTTTTATTTAATTCAAAATCCCAGTTGTGTCCTTGCTACACCTGTAAGGCTGTGTTTCTTATTTTAATGGCAAAAAGATCAAAAGCAAGGCGTGCTATCTCTTCTTCACAATATCTCTCCAAAAATGTTAAATAACATCACAAGAGATGAAATTCAACATTTTTTAATTAATTTACTTTTTTGCTAATTGAAGGACATCGTTTTGCATCAGTCTCCAGGCAGTGCGTTTACATACAGGTTATTTTACTGCTGACCAAAGCCAGCGTTTACAGTAAACACCTGTAAATATACACGCCACTTGCATAGGTGTCATTCAGGTTATTTCCATTATAGTGTGTGTGTGTGTGTGTGTGTGTGTGTGTGTGTGTGTGTGTGTGTGTGTGTAAACAGGGAGGGGGGCAGGTTGTGGGGTGGAGGGGGCAGGTACGAGAGTTTCAGCCACTCCTCCTCATGGCCACGGCGCGTCTCTGCTCCAATGGAAACAGGCGGGATCCCCGGACTCCTCCAATCACACCTTTCCTCCATGAGGGCGGCGGGGTGGGGGGAGTCCTGAACCGGAGGCAGGACCCGACGAACTTCCACACTCGCCACAGGAAAAGTCGGGAAAACACATCTGTCCCCGCATGACGCTGTTTGTGTCGGCCTGCGTGTGTCGTTAAAGCCGTAGCGGTGACCGTTAGCGGGCCGGCAGTTTCCCGGAGCGCCGGTGAAGTTGTGGCCGCTGTTGACGGCGGTGTGGTAGCGTCGGGACGCTTTGCCGCTATGGAGAACATTCACTGATCGGATTTGGAATTGCTTTTCTTGGATTTATCCCCGGTAAACCGAGCTGTTCCCGCATATATCCTATTGGCACCGTGGAGTAGGAATATTTGGATGAAACAAAATGCCTGGGAAAACCAAGTACAACCTCGTAGATGATGGGCACGATCTGAGGATCCCATTGCACAACGAGGAAGCATTCCAGCATGGGATCAACTTCGAGGCAAAGGTGAGTTTCCAAGTAACTTTGAAGTGGTTAGCGCAGCACTTCATTTATATTTTATTATGTCACCGAGTCTTCTTCGTTAACTAACCTGTGCCTGAATAGCGCCTTGTTTAACTCGTATATACCGTAAACAAAACAGGTAACTGGCATAAGACTCTTGGGTCTCCCGAGAATTTGTTTTGTGCTCACGCAGTAAACTTAAGTTGTCAGCTTGTCAAGAGGTAAAAGTTGCCCAAAGCTGGGCTGATTATTACCTTACTGTAGGAACTTGTGTTTGAAATTAAAGGAAAGTCAGCTTCCTTTTTCACTAATGTGCTGTACCTGTCATATTTTAGTACATTGGCAGTCTGGATGTGGCGCGGCCGAGCAGCCGAGTGGAGATTGTGGCAGCGATGAGAAGAATACGGGTGAGTGGAAGGGAGCCTGACAGGACGCCGTTTAAAATCTTGCATTTTTTCATATTTTTCCTTTTCCACATCATTTGATAGGACACGACTCCACGTTGTCCACGGTTTTTTCTTTTTCTTTTAAAATCTGTTTACTTTTCGGCATTGCGAAGCTAATTATGATGGAAGAGCGCAATGCTATTGAACTGGACCCTGAACGTAACTTTAGCTTATTATAGGCTTATAGCTTAGTTATTACTTCTAATAATGAGCACTGCAATTATGCTTCCTCTAATATTTGTACTCATTTAATTCAGAGACAGACTCAGTTGGATTTTTAAATATCAATTTTACATATAATGCTTAAATCACATGTCAGATTACCATGTGAGGCCATGTAAAACTGACTTGGAGAAGGCCACAGTGTTGTTATATAGCATTAGTTTTGTGTGAACACACCTTGGAGTTTAAACGTGGAGCCCTTTGAGTGTCTTTGACATGTCTTGCCTGGTGGGAGGTTTGGTCTCCCATGTGCTCCATCAGTGTTTTGAAGTTTCCTTTGAAGCGGTGCACTGGAGTGTGACTCTTACCCCCTCTCTCCCCCCCTCTTTCTGCTGTGTAAATCCAAGATTTACAGCTTTTTCACTCCCAAAAAGAAGGCTTCATCTTAATCAATGTGTCTGCCAATCATATTGCGGCAAGCTGATGTAGGTTGTTGGAGGTGTTGATGTTTTCGGGGACTGGTGCTGAACTTGTAGGTGGAAACGAAGTGTTAGTTCTGTCCCTATTTATAATCTTGTGGTTTTAAAGAAAATTGTGCCCCCCACACACATGCTGACATTTTATTTTAAAATGCTGACACTTTTCCCTCATTAACAGACTTCAGTTTTGCTCTGCCATTGGCTCATTTCAGCAAGTTGCTCAACCTTTGAGCAGAGTTGAAAAAAAAAACCCCTCTCGTTGGCCCTTTAACAAAGAAGTGACCTGCTCCTAAAAAGTGGACCTCCCGGAATGCTGCCATGGCAGCTGTTGTTGTTGTTGGCAAGAAAACGAGCATTGGTTTGGCTCCTCCGGTGTGAAAATGGTTTGACACTGGCTGGACAACACAATGGAGGGAAACCACAGGTATCAAACTTGGAATGGAGATCACGTTGGGGATCGGGGCGCTGCAGGAGTCACTCTGAAGGCATTTTGTTTGAGTTGGGTTACCAGTATGCCGAAGCAGTCTCCACTCAGTGATTATGTAAGAAAACTGCACTGGAATGCCCCAGTATGTTTTGGTAAATGCAGAAATGATTGGTTTGTTTAATTACTTTTAGGGCATTCATTTACTGATTAGTACACGCTTACACCTTATGCAAAATCTGGACTTTTTAAGTAGGAAAAGAAATCACCGAAAGTAGAAACACTGTAATCTTCAGCAGGTTTATGACTGGCAGAGACAATCATGCGTCTTTGCCGTTAGTTTCACTTAGAAAGAAACAACAAAGGGAGCTATAGAGGCGCTGTCCTTTATTTATCCTTGCAGTTAGAGTTGCCCCATAAAACCAGTTCACTGTGGATTAAGGACTACAACTGGGCATCAAGCAACATTCTTGCAGCCTACAGTGTTTATTCTTGATTCTTGACGTATATTATCTATCCCTGAAAATGTTTGGTCCTTCTTCAGTTTAATTGTACAGAAAATAAAAATAAAAATCAGTGTTGTGCGTTTCATTTGTACCACATCAAAACAGAGCTTTTCATTATGGAATTGATCAACTTTCCCCTCGCTTCCCAGGCTGTTACTGTTGAGCAGCTGAAGAAAGTTCCGGGGGAAGCGATTGTTGACAAAGCACAGCAAATGCACAGATTGGATGCTTCTACTCTCTGCTCCCTGAACAGCAACATAAAAGTGGAATCAGAACAATGCCTAGACAAAAGATAACATGCTAGTTTTTCCCAAGGTTCCAAGTTCTGTGGTGTTGAAATGCAGTAGTGTGATGAATGATCATAAAAGATGTGAACACAACTTCCTATTTCCCTGCCACAATTACAGTAACTGGTTTGTCTTTTATATGACAGCTACCAAACAAAGCTGACTGTTACCGGCACTCATGTTTTGTTTCTAATTGAAATGTTCGTGTAACACCGGCAGCTTGTGAAATTTGTGAAAGTTAGTCAAAATGATGCTTTCCTGCAGCTTGTGTTTTTCTTGCAAGGTTACTATCAGACTCCATTTCTGCAGAGTCAGTCAAAGTTTTGGACGCTGCCTGGCAACCGGTTGATGTATGGTTTCATTGTTCATTGTGTGCATGAGTCACCTGTAAGCTGGTAGCTGATAACAAACAGACAACAGTGCAGAGCAGGAAATAGGCACCTAGAATGGAGCCGAACGCAAAAACCGGCAGGATTTGACGTTTTGTTACACACACACACGCACACACATAAAAACACACACGAGTAAACACACCCACTGTGTTGCACGTTGCTGTTGAATGATTAATGATCTCTCCAGAAATGAATGGAGAAAAACACTTAACAGATGGGAAGAGCAGTTTTCACGTCACTTAGTGAAACTTCCCAGCTGAAAGAAATGTAATGTTGAAAAAGTTACTAATGCATTTATGAACTTTTTTCCTTTTTTTGGAACTCAGGGTCTGTTTTGCAGTTATATAGTGAATCATCAAATGACAAAGATATATTTTAATAAAGATTTTTTTCTCCACCTGTTTTGTTAAAGCTGAAATGAGGATCATGTCACATTTTTTCCTTTCTTCTGTTAGTGAAAAGATAGACTTGCATATACAGATTGAAAGAGCTATAAAATAAAATCCACCTAAATGCATTCTTGTCTTATTTTGCCTTTTTTCTCCCTGTCAGCTACAGACCAGTCAGAGATGAGGATCCTGTATTACATGCTGGTCTTCATAAATTAATTTTATTATTATCATAATCTGGAAAAGTGCAGCAGCAGCTTATCTGGTTAAAAGAAGAGAAGACCTTTGCAGTGAATTAAAGAGATTAATTTCTCATTAATCGCCCTTTGCTGGGTTAACTGACTGTAGGAAGACTGAGCAGCATGGGATGAGAAGATTAGATGTGTCTGACGAGACATTTGTGAGGGCTGAAAGAGCACAGCGGTGGAGCTGGAGTACGTAAAAGACAGAAATGGAAATGCTTTGTCAGTTCCTCTGGCTGTCAGGCTGAACCAGGACCTTTGTGTTCGCTCGGTGCACCAATTAGCTGGTGGCTGGAAAGCACAGTGCAAGTTTATTAGTCTGGGTTTTAGTTAGCATTTTAGCAAACTGTCGTAAAGCTTTGCACAAACTGTCCACTGCAGAAATTGGATGGAGGTTTTGAACAGTAATGTGCAATCTTTGTGAATACAGTTAGGCACTGAGAGGAAATATTTACAGTACTGAACAGTCTTGTGCTCTATTAAAATTAGTTGTTCCTTCTTGCGAGCCCAAAGACTCGTGGGAATAAAGACGTTTACGTTTGAATCATGTAGCAGTTTTGTGATGATTATTTTCAGCTCATTTCAGAGACTTTTGATCACCGTGGTTTTGATTTCCTGATGTTTGTGTGACCGAACACAGTACAAAGTTCAGCTAGAAATAGGCCACCATAAAACAGACTCCCGTAGGGAATAATTTGGTCTGGCCAGTGTTTGTCTTAACAGTGCTTACATTAAATACAGTAGCACTCCCTTAACCGTGTGGCACGAGGAAGGAGGAAGCTGTGATAATTAACTAAGGGAGGGATACTGTACATTAAATGTAGTATCACCTTAAGCACGGAGTGCAAAGAATAAGCGAAATGTGACTAAACAAATATCGTGCGACAGTTCCAAGAAAGACCAGAAACTCAGTTAATACAGTACAGTAATTAACTTCTTATTTAATTTAAAGAGGAAACACTGAAATGGCAACCAAAGAATGGCTGTATTCTTCTGTAAATGTGTCTTTTGTTCAGTAGATATGAACCTATAACCTTCTTGTGCCGCCCAGCAAAGAAGTTATAGAATTGAAATGATTAAATATCCCTGAACCGTGACTTAATTCATCCAGCTTCACACTGTGCTTGAGGACCTGATACAACATCACATTAATGTGACCAAACTGTAATTATCACGGAGACAGCTATGCTAAGTGGCCCAGTGAAGTAATTGTACAGTTGCTTGTACCTTTGCCTTAGACTTTCTATCGACTGTGTGCAAACATGTATAGTTTATGTCTGTTGTGTACACCTGCCTCAGCTTATTTCCCTTCAGACAGAAAATATGAACAGTGTTCATATTTCAAGTCCTCACAAGGAGAGAATTAACTGCTTCAACCACAGAAAGGGGACAACTAATGAAGCAGAAAGTTAGTAGTGCTGACAGGTGAGCATTATTGGTAAAAGTGACAGCCTTTCTCCATCAGGATAAAAAGTCTTTTAATTACTGGCAGCCGGAGCTGACCTGCTTTATTTGATTGACTTTAATGAAGTAAAGAAGCTTTTGCTCTGTTCATGTAATCCGCTTGAATTAATAAATGGACTTTCTAAGAAGTGATGTCTTGCATTATGAAGGACCTTCAAACACTCATCTGTTGTGTGACTTATTTGTATTGAATCTTCTTTTTGCATTGTGATGATTGCTTTACATGATACTCTGCAGCTTCTTGCTGATATACTACAGAATGTCAAAACTGACAGATTCTTGTGAACAGTGCAGTGTGATTGTATTTACAGAGGTAAATGGCATGTAGAAAGTTGTAGAGTAACTAATTTAAGGTAAAGCTCTCTGAAAAGTGTTTGAATATGTACATTAAAAAATTTACAGTAGAAAAAGAGCCGGCATTTAGTGTGAAATCTACACTGAGCCGCAGTTAATGAGGTCGAAAATTAAACCGGGAAAAACAGCCAGTTTGGTGAGATCTCTGTAAACCTGGCTGGTATTTTCCATACATGCCTACATACTGTTCGTCCTCACCGCAGCAACAGTAGATCAATGGCTTTATGGCTAACCACGCTGAATAACTCTCTGAAGAGTAATG